TTTTAAGAAGGTTCCTGATACCATCCCTGTGCATTCCACTGTTTCGGCGTGTATGTGAACACATTTGGGACTAACAGGGTTTACTAGAATCCCTCCACTCCACCACAGAGTCACCGCAGTAGACGTTAGATGAGCGCTGTCGCTATGCGGCACTTGTTAGTGTTAGGCACTTGGTTATATCTGCCTATGTAGCGGTTTGCCCCACTGTAGGTAAAACTAGAAGTGTATAGGTAATGAAATCTACAAATTCCGGTTCCATATAACCAAGGGTCATAGCTGTAGTGTAGGCCATTGTGATATTCTTACAGTGGCCCCCTAAATCCAAATTGCAGCCAGCAATGTATTTCCACAAAGGTCAAAATGGCATGTTCTCGCAGCAAAATGCATAGATATACCTACTGTGGGCTCGTCTATGTTGCAGAAATTCACTGCAACTCATTTGTATTGCTTTTCTTCAGCAAACCTAAACAGTCCTACGAAACTAGTACTTTCAATGTTTACACAATGTTTACACATAGGGGACATAGCCAAGCGATCACAGTTTTTATTAACAGTTCTTTTCTATGATAGAACAAGTTATAATTCATTATTCGATGTTTGTTCAGTACAAAATTGTGAAATTTGTTTAAATCAAATGTTATCTACGTTACTTATGCAAGTGGCAAACAAATATTATATTGTTTTCTTTCCAGGAACTGTTTGCGTCAGTGTAGGCCTACTGTTAGCATTCTCAGTTGCATCACTCTATGTGTATCTGTATGCTGAAACCCCATCCGACATTCAACTTCGGAGCACATTTCTGGCTCAATAAGAACATTTCATGATGTTTGCATACTGCCAGTATGCTCACAGTAGGTGTATGTAGGCTTTTGGTTGTGAGGTTTATCCACTTAGGAGTAAGGGAGTACTGTCTTGGCTTTAATAAATTCTGACTCTTATGTGCTCTATATATCTGTCTCTCTATGTGTACCTGACTCTATATATGCAGAAGTCTGGGTCCTTGGCTGCAGAGTGTCGTGGTTTGATCGTTTCTGAGAGTAGTACTCAACCATGTGCATAATCTTGTACCTGCAGAGTATTTTCACACTATAGGAGGAATACCTCACTCCATATGTGCAGCGACATGTACACGTACCTTCATAGTATTGTCAATTTGTCATACCCACTCACTCACCTCCAGGGTGTCAGCCAGGGGAAAAAATCAGTGAGTCAGTCTCACCATCTGAGCGAAGCCTGATGCTGCAGGCACGAAGTGCCCTGGGGGGGAGGGCCTTACCTTAAAATGGAGGAAATTTAGTCTGAAATGCCAAAAAGACAGGAATCTGATATGATTTTATATTCTTATAAGCATTGTTGTCAGTTATACAAGGTCAAATTTCATCCGGCTCATCCAAGAATATGCCATCCAAAGGACGGGTAGATGGGTCTCTTGCTAACACACTGCTCACCTCACTCCTGCCACTGGTCACCTCATATTGGTGGGTGCACGTGTACTGTGTTGCGATTCTAACTGTAATCAAAATGTACTTTTTGCACCGGATTCGTTCTATTGATATATTTTTCTTTGCCCTCTCGGTACCCTGTATGTTCAGTAAGAGTTGGTAGCCGCTAGCCATGGCTTAGGTCATGGTGGTGAAGATGGCCTAGTCATGTGACTCATGAGTGTCTTACAATAGTGCGGTAAATAGACACAGAACTTTGTCTTCGCTTATACATAAGAGGCACAGTGGCGCACTGCCGTTGTCAAATTTAACATTGCAGACACTAAGTAACACAGCAGCAGTGAGGTAGACAATATGCTGGACATTATGTATACTAGAAGCAGCAGTGTAGAACATACTCTGAATTTCACAGCATATTATGATATTAATAACATAAAATTAGTAAATTCCTACACGAATTCTATTATCAACCATTGGCTATTTTTAATATACGTAATATCAGCTATTGTTGGTGCTGCCAATGCACCGTGCGACTGTTCTATCCCACTGACGAATTTGCGCATTTGAATGTTTATTTTGCATGTTTTGGACAGAGCTATAATTACAAAAATGTAATTACATGTATATACGTACCTATACTGTTAACTGAATGCTAAATACGTGCGTAATCTAATTAAAACTGGAAAATATAAGATGTTTAAAGCCTTCTCCTAAATTAATAAATAAACGTTCTTGGTCTGTAGCATGCGGTTGGAAAGTTGTGTAGCGCAAATTCGTTAGTGGATGAGCATTTAGTGACGGCACTGGCATTGTAAGAATGTGATTATCAAAAGTTTATAAAACATTGTTTCTAGTGAATGTTGAATCTTGAAATTTTGCAGCAAACATTCAATAATGGCCACCTTTAATTAACGTTTACAATACTGATAATTCTCAAGTATTTTTACTTGAAATGTGCTATTAGAGAAAAATGCTATGTAAAATAAGATTGATTATCGAGAATTGCAATTTAATATGGTCTTTAAATTCACTAAATATTTTCAGTTAACGGTAGTATATATCGCTTATGTAAAAACGTGTACGTATACGTGTAACAAAGTATAACCCACTACTCTTTTTTTAGTTATATATAGCAGTTCGTGCTTACGTTCAGGTTTGCTGTGTCTTATATGATATCCATGGATTTTTGTGTCGTCTTATGTTAATTGTGATTAGATATTTGAGGTACCCGCTATCATTATGTGTGTTCGAGTCAAATGTCCAAGTTTATTTCGTTTTGCTGTAAGGTGCTTTTTTAAGGACTTGTGTCACTATTATCAATTAAACCCACTTGTATAGGCAATCCGCATAGGCTATAACGTTGTTAAAGTCCCTCTATACTGATAGAATTGCAGATTGGTACGAACGCTATGGATGTCGTCGTACTGCGATAGAGGTCAATAAATAAATCCAGTACGCGTTTTATGAAAAGTGTAGTTTATCCGTGCAGTAGCTTGACGTATTGGTCCATCGGAATGTTTTCTTGAGTAAGGGGGCCCCGTTCCACGTTTTTTTTTATTTTTCGGGCTAAACTATGAACGTTAGTTATAGTATTGAGCAAAGAAGGAATTGGCACTTAGTATTGTTTAACATACCGGAAAAGGTATATAATCAAAGGTAGTAGATTGCCTATGTACAAATTGAATGGCATTTAGGTCATGCGTTGGTTACGTTTTGCTATTGGGATAATTTTATGGTGAAACCATTAATTCGCTTTCCGAAGTTTGCGCATAATGTTGAGCCAGCGTCTTCCTTTGTAGAAGTTGAGTTTTAGAAGAATACATGAAACGATATTCATTGAAATTCCCGTATAGAATGATATGGGTCGATTCCATAGGTCGATTCACTAGTGTTATGTGTTTGAAGATATTTCCGTATCTCCTAAAATGTCACACTGTTTGATATCTGGGGGACATTTATGGTATGCACGATCGTTACACTGTGATTTAAAAGATGATATACCAAGTTGGCAGCTAAATGAAGATTGCCCCTATGTAATTCAAATTGGTTTTGAAATGTAACAAGCGCATCGTATAATAGCTTGCCCAATGAGCCCAGATACATTGTTGTTATACATACATATATATGCATGCATGCATGTTATCAGGGGTTAATAATGACAAATTGGGACATTGGGACATCATAATGACATTTGTCATTATTATATGTATCGTAGGTGAATCAGTTTCTTCTAGCGATAACTTCCAAGTTGGTTCACTATTGCCATTGTGATCTCTGAGGTGTGGCTGTCGTGAGAGCTCGTAATATAGGCATAATCCAATTATGAATTGCTTAGCTGATTAGTTAAACAGACATGTCCTTATTCGATTTTAATTGAAACTGCCTTGGGTTAATGATTTTATAGTTTAGTTTATCATCTGTTATATCATTTGTCATCTATATGATGCATATACTGTATAACGCCATAATACCTTATACCTCGTATAGTAATATATACAGCTTCTTGTGTCACGATATCAGGAGTAAGATAATATAGATATATATATTATCTTACTCCTGACGATATGTGTCCAGCTATATGTACGACTACTAATACATCCAACAAAAAGGTTCCCTAATATAACTATCTTCCATATCCAATATTAATATTACTCTGAGTTGTTGCAAATATATATCACTGTTAGCAGGAATTTATGTATACAAATGTGTTAATTTAGTTAGTATACGTATTTTTATAGTTTTAGTGAGTGATGTATGTTTAGCTTTGTCCATTGGAAACACTACTTTTCCCATTTCGGTAACAATACTGTAGTAATTTTGCAAGTAGCTCCAAGAAACGGTCAAGTATCGCACATGTATTGAATAGACGTTTGACGTCACAGTATAGCGTTTGTTAATTTGCAAGTATAACGTTTTTTGCAAGTACTCCTGCATTAGCAATTTGATTAAAAGTTGATACCAAAAAATTTTTACGTGCAGCATCATATTTTGTTTCCGTCGCATTACTATTATCTCAAGTTGCATGATCCGGTGTGTCTATTAATTCACACAGGATAGTGTTACTAACCTCTAAATTAATCCCACTTTTGATGTTATCCATGATTTGGGAGGGATGTACGTCATAGTAGGAAAACAACACTGATCCTAATGCAAAATCACAAGTCTAAAAATAACAGTTTTCAAAATGTACAATTTCAATCAGTTTCGCTGCATCAGTTTTCTGTTCATGGAAAGTTGCATGCTGATTTCATAAAAATTCGTGTGACAGTGAAAAATGGTTATATTTCATTAACAGACTCATTCGCAGAGTGTTACAGTTTAATCCGAGTTGTTTGAAGATATGTTGATTTTATGCCCACTTGGCGTGCACCTGCTTGACCTGATCAGGCCAAGGTCCTGAAACTGGATAAATGCTAAGGGAAATGCGCTTACCTTGTCAAAGCAGAGGCAAGTTATGTGATTATTTGTGTGTTGTTGCAAATTAAGTTTGCTGTTCTCCAAAATAAAAAAAGCTTTTAACATAAACCCATCACGTTGGTCTAATAAAATGTCATATTGATTAATTGCTTCATAGTTACGGTCTATCCAACATGTTATTCGACTGTTCCCGACTTTCCGATAAAGCTCCCTTCTCGATAAAAACCTCTTTTTGTCTAACCCGTCCGCGTTTCTCTTGTCTAATTCTCAGCTAAAATGTTTACATATAAATAGTGCTCATTTTCGGCTGATGTCTGTTCGTTACGGTGATTTTATCAGAGCACATGCCTGACAGCAAAAAGCAAATGCACAATAAGATTTCGCTGAAAGGATAGTTTTTTCTATTATTTGTCATGTTTCATTGAAAGTTATTTACTCGTAGTTGATTTATTATTGCACTTTTTACTTTTTCTTCAAAATACATTTAGCAGCTATATTATCAGGAGTAAGATAATATAGGATATTATATATCTATATTATCTTACTCCTGATATTATTATATACTGACTCTCCGTGGACGCTGTTACGGTCTATACATAATACATATCATAGACAGTTTTTGCTAGCAGCCCGCTCACTCTCAAATATTTGCGATTCGTTGTGACGACAGCGCAAACATTTCTAGAATCGCGCGTTTATCTTTTTAACCGCTAGATAACCCGGTTCACGACGAAACTCGGAAGGTCTGGCCATAGTTATATATATATCAGGAGTAGATAATACCCTATTATCTACTCCTGATATATATATATATATATATATCTACAAACACACGTGTGTTCGTATATATGTATGGTCTGGTAGGCCAGTGGTCGCATTTCGCAAGTCGCGTACGTGTTTAGAGCACAGGCACTCGGGACAGTCAGTAAAAACTGAAAATAATATGAACGCACATTCACAAATAGGCCCAACTATCGTACCTCTCCTCCACTGTTGCGTCACTGTATATCTACTTTCCTTCATAAAAACCAATGTAAAAACTAACGCCGAACGCTCCCGCACTCGCCGCTGCGAGTGTGCTGTGTCGCCATGTGACATTTGCGTTCATGAATATTATTTTCAGTTTTTACTGACTGCCCCAAGTGCCTTTGGTTTAGAGTACGAATATAAAGGATGTAGAGTAACGTTCGTAAGTTCGGATGCATGTAACTCGAGGACTTTCTGTACAGTACGTGTGGACTAAAACATATCAATGATAAATAATGGCTATTTAGTATTACGCATGGACGGCCTGCTGGTATATATGACAACTGCGTGTGTACTAGCGGTATCTGACATCCGTCCGTGGGCGTTCACGGGCGTTTGGCGGTGGGTGGCGCTGTTTCAGTTTTTGCTGGTGAACATGAATTTAGTGTATCCGAAGTAATACTGAACGATTCTCACAGCTGCTGAAGTGTGCTGAACCAATGGCACTCAACTAAAACTAAGAGTAAGAGTAAGTTTGTTTTAGCTGAGTGTGCTGAACTCAATCAACTTATTCGTACTTGGATCCCAAATGGATAAATATCTGCAGTAATAGTAGCAACGTCGAGCAGAATATATACAACACTAGGTATGTCACTATTTGCATGGGTTTTTTGAAAATAATATTAATATTAATAATGTCAGTAGACAGTACTGTCAGTGTCAGTACAGTAGGCTAATAACTAGTCAGTCTAATGCAAACGTTGTACTAGCGGTTGTTTTTCTTCTCCTGAACTTTGGACCAAGGCTTAGATTCGACTAGACTAGAGTAGAGGTCGACTTATTATTAATACTATTAGTATATTAGTATTATTACTTAGTTTTAATTCTTCCTCACACTCATTGACACACTGACACAGACCACAGGCACTTGAAGCGTTTCAACTGTAAACACTCGCCGCCGCCATTGCGCGCACACTGACACATAAATATATACTAGCAGGTGAGAAAGCGCGATCCCAAAAATTCGCTCGACGCTCGCTGCATTTCTCACGATTTCAACACAAATACACATCCAACAGCTTCCATCTTTGTTTCTCCTTCAAGAACAGTGTTCACTTGTTATAAAAACAATGTCTCTGTTCGTAACCGAGCTGTGTCACGCGAAATCACACAAAGACTGACGAAATTCTCGCGTTTGCTAGCACTGCGCACGGATGGTAACGAACTTTCGCCCATAGTTAAAGGCGGCGAAAGTTTGTCAACATCCGGTGCGCAGTCGCGCTTTCTCACCTGCTATATATTTATGTGTCAGTGTGCACGCAATGGCGGCGGCGTGTGTTTACAGTTGAAACGCTTCAAGTGCCTGTGACACAGACACTCGTGCCGTTTCACTTTTAAAATTTTGGTAAATAAACACTAATTGTATTTACGACAGTACGAGTTTGCCTTTATCCTTTGCCTTTGGCTTTGGTGAGTTTGTGGGTTCAAGGGTAGAGAACATGGGTCCCAATAAAATCAATATCATTTACATCATATAAATATAATATTATATCAATATAAATTATATTATAT